GAGCAATGACAGTTAACATCGTCGACTTTGGTGCAGAAGTGGAAGAGACTCCGGACTCTAAATAGGCAAACTGTCTCTCTGTCATGTATACAGTAATTAGGGGGATAAATAATTCAAACAAACCAGCCTTAGGCGGAATCAGCTTCTCCGCTCGACCTCTGCTCTGAAATCAATGTTTTGGGGAGTTGCGTTCGAGTTCGTTTGGCCTGGCTAGTGAGATGGCAATGTCACCTCTGCTGCAGTGGAGAGATTGACATGGTGCAAAGATGTGAGAGAGCAGATGAGAGGCAAGAGACGAACGGAAAGGAGAGGAAACATGGAGGAGAGACAGATGTGTTTACATATAGAAGGTAAAGAGGGTTCTGCCTCCATGATAAGCAGATGTTTCTACTCAGAATGAGGTTGTAAGAGTGGTTTAGTTTGGACATTCCTGCGGCTGCCTCATTACTTTTTTAAACCTTAAGCACCGCTATCTCTTTATGCCCAGAGGGACGCACAACTGGACCTGTGTGATACACTAATGTATGGTGTGTGAGGATACAGAGGGATTGTTGCAGAAATTGGATAGACAGATGAAGCAAAAGAGATAAAGAGGATTCAGGAATAAAAAAGCAACCCAAAGTGTGTATTAAAACTTGGCCAACACCTTTGCTCACACTGCTTCTCCCCTCTGTCAGCTTTTTGAAGCAGAGGGGATAGGCCGGCTTTGATAGCTAGACAGCTAATGTCAAGAGTGGACCTCGGTGAGTCATTAGGGATAATGTGCCACTGCTGAGTGCCCAGGCCTCTGCTTCATGAAAACAGGTGGTCCCAGGGTCACCCCTTCCTTCTCCTCCCCTCAATTTCTCTACTTAGCATACCTCATGGCTCTCTCCCTCCTTCCCATCCCCTTTCCCCCGCCTTCACCACTTCCCCCTCCACCGTTCCCTCAGCACACACGGGAAAGGTTATTTGGACAATTGATGGTGATTAGCTCTTGATTTGGCTCTCTCTGTTCGTTTGATCAGGCTGTGGCACGGAGGCCAAAGCCAGTGCGAGCGAGGGTGCAGCTGTGACTCGGCCATGGCTGAAATTGGGCGCAGAGAACCGAAAGGAGGAGGAGGAGGGTGAAGCAGATGAGAAGGAGGTAGGGTGGAAGAGGAAGGAAAGGAGGGGCAAGAATTTGGGGGTTTAGGGACCTCTAGGGTTCTTTGCTTTCTTGGCGGTTTGAGTTATGGATTTGGGGCTGCTGGCAGGGAAAATGTGAACTGCATGTTATTCCAGTTGTGGCCCTCATAAAAAAGCTCTCTTTCTCCCTTTAAACAGTTTGTCCAACAACCTGCTTCCATTCTCTCTATGCCTCTCCTGGGTGGTAGATTGCTAACAAGAAAAATGTGGGTGCTGCCTAATACCTGGCTGTTAAAGTGGCTTGTGAAGTCTGCTTTGCCCTAAAGTGTTTGGGGCTGTATTGGTTTTGTCAGCATGGTTGGATGCTTTGGCTGCATCGATCTTTAGGTTGGATGGGGTTGGAGTTGGGCTTTGGGTGGATGTAGTGCCTCAACCTGCCTGGTTAGGCCAAGGAATTTTTCTCACAGTAACGGCTGTTCTATCCACCCCTCCACCCATTCCTTCATCCGTCCTTCCACTCATACAGCCAGCCAGGCAAGTAGGAAGGCCTCTCGCTATCTGGGTGTTGAGCCAACAAATCCCCACTCCACTCCTTTGGCCTCTTCGCTACACCCATATATCAGGTTGACAGCTGCAGGGAACCCAACATCCAGCCAGCTGAACAAAACAGAGATTAAGCACCCACCCGAATCCATTTAATTACTCGTTCAACAGCTCTCGGCATGTAACCCCAACTGCTGTGAGAACTTTGGTGTTCTCCAGTCTTTACTTTTGCTCCCAGCGACCACAGTGAGGTTGGTTGAAGGAGGTGAATGGTCACAAAAAAATCTTGCCCTTGGTAACTCAAATAGTCTTTGTGTACTGCGTGTTTGTGTCCCCACAATTTAAGGCTTGGTTACGAGGGCGTGTAAGGCTGGGGGGTGAAAGTCAGCTGAAATGTTAACATGACATCACATCTGGAGACATCTGCGAACACAGAGTTTTTTCACTGACGAGAGAAGCCAGCATCAACAAAGAGAACAAAAGCACCACGAAAGAAAACAATGATGTCATTATTTACAACACACGTAATGTCCCACTCTTATGTGCTAACACACAATTAATGCATTACAGTAATTTTGCAATTATTTAGCATTTTCACAGTGTTATCTTCACTTTTGAAATAACATTGACCGAAATGAGGAGCTATCAAAAAGATGTTATGTTTTTTTTAAATCTAGAAATTCAAACTTCTGCAAGAACTGGGATATTTGAGAGGTTGGAAGGCCTGGATGAGGGTGACTGAACCCATGACGAGTTCACAAAAACATGCAAAAGTAGAAGGCTTTTATTTTTTTGGCATCTCTCAGACGATGTGCAACAGCCTCCAGTCAGCAGCTACAATATGGCCTGATGTCAAGAATGCATCAGTTTGGTGGCAGCATGTCCACTTTCGAGATATTAGGTGAACCCGGTTGGCAAGAGCTGCCTTTCAAACCCAGACAGACCACACACACATACACACAAACATATTTAGTAAACCTCAAGAGAGCCGATAGATAGTGATGAAGAAAAATTGCCAGGCCAGCTAATGTGACTGAAACTCCCCCAGTTCTCATTTTCCTAAAACTACAGCGCATTTAGTGAGCGTTTATGTTTAACACAGAGTCTCCCTGGGAGAGCTGATGGGCTGAGGGCCAGGAGAGGGGGTTCTGGGTGCTGGAGGGGGAGTGGGCATCTGCAAAATAAATATATATATATAAAAACCTGAGGGGAACCCAGGGTGCTGCAGACTGCGGAACAGTTGCATGACCTTTTCTTGAATGCTGCCACCAGCCAGCCACTGAAACACGGCCTGACTAATTAAAGTTTCAGTGGCACTGGATTTTCACTGGCACACCTCAAGCAACCTTGGGGGCTATTGTGCGGGCGATACACACAGAGGGACGGATGGGAAATGTAAGAAAGAAGAGAGACAGAGGAAGCCTTGGAATCAGCTGAGCGAGCGGGCAGCCACTAGAGGACAGCACGACAGATCCAAGCAGTAACACACAGTGTCGGCAGGAGCAAGGCTATATATTAGAATGCAAATCTAGACTCACAAACATGCACCCTCCCTGGGTGTTTTACATAAGCCCCGACTAGGTTTGCCCTTCTAAACAGAAAAGCTCAGAACATTCATGATCACATGGAATTAGAAATGAAATTGAAACTGTTCAACTCAGTGTAAAAGAGTGGATGCTGGAGCTAAGCAAGAGATATGCGATGCCAAAATGTTGAGTGCTTTTCCAAATCTTATCGGTCTGCCTGTCAGGCTAATGGAATTCCGATGGGTCAGTATCAAGAATAAATGCATGACTTATGACATGGTAACCGGGAGCATTACCAAACACACTGGACAGCATGTTCCTGTCTCCAAAGGATCATTGAATAATTGGCTGCGTTTGACCAAGACATTTCTGGAAATATGGCCAAGGAAAGGTTATGCAACTAGACAGACTCGCTCATGGCCTGTATTTCACAATCTGCTGGCCTTGTCTCCATTAATGATCTTGACCCCCTTTTTCGCCATTTTAGAAGTGAAAGGGCCTAATGGAGCCGAACAAAGCTGCTTGTGTGTGTGTGGTTGTATGTGATTGTGTGTGAGAGACAGAGACAAGGAGAGAGAGAGAGGGAGAGAGAGAGAGAGAGAGAGAGAGTGAAAGCCCCCGTGACTGTGTGTTCCAGCTTGATGAGGTCTTGGTCTGTGATTCCTGGGGGAGGTGGTCCAATCTAAGCTTTATTCTGCCTTATTAAGCTGTGTGCAGGCAGGTGTGCATGTGTGTGTGTGTGTGTGTGTGTGTGTTTGCTCTATCAAGAGCACTTGGCAGATTTTTACGAGTGCCGTTGTGTGTGTCTCTAAAATACACACAGTTGGTAGCGGTTTAATGGGGTGTGGAAGGTATAGTACATGGACCCTTTTTCATTCCTGCGAGAGGCGAGTGTGTTAGTTTGATCACTTTGTCATTTAAGTCCTTTAATATATCATTTGTGTATATAGTGTACAGCAGCGTCTGTCCACCACAAGGACAAATGTGGAGTCTGTGCATGTGTTTTACTGCACTGTTTACCTTATATGATGTTTTATTACAAATACACACAGAAACACAGATGCATGAACATATCTATGTGGACTCTTGAATACACACTTGTACTCTTGTCCAAAAACTACAGTTGTTTGGTTTAGTTAATCACGAGAATGATTTTTTTAACGACAGGCAGACTGAGCTGACAGCGACTGGGGTCCAGGTGGATCTGCTTAGCTTGACATGGTTGTTCGCTCCACGGTTTGACGCCCATGAGCTACAGCCACTGTAAATTCTTCGACTACTTCGCGAACGCAAATTGGTTTTCCATCTTCGTCTAAGTACAACATCATCTGCACAAAATGTCTCTTGTGTCTCTGGGCTGTCAGCTATTTATTCAGCGACTTACTGAAATATGATCTTGTCATGGGAATCTACCCTATTTGACTTGTTTCGACTGCAAGACAAGACACAGAGAAGTTCCCCCTCTTCGTAAAACATCTTCATCATCTTTCAACTTGAAATGATGTCTATTTCAAAGACGACAGCTCAAATTAGGACTTCCACTGTATACGGATTTTACTTTTCTCTCGAACGATTACATCAAATATCAACTTTACAACAAAAGGAAAACAATGACATGATCATAATAATTGATAAATGTTCATTTGTTTCTAATAACACAATGTGAATGTAATACCTACAGTGACGAGAAGCGTATCATGGTCACATAGACCACATGAGAATGCAACTAATAAATCCACTGCTTAAAATGAGATTTACAAAGTGGCACTGACGGGAGTGACAGCACAAACGCTGCATTTAACTGTAATGGTTCCCAGAACTTACGGTTGGCAGAGTTTGATGAGGTCCTGGTCGGTGGTCCCGGGTGGCAGGCCTCGGATATAAAGGTTGGTCTTACTCAGCTGCTCCGCCCCTCCATGGCTGCAGCTGTTGGTGCTGGGGCTGGGAGGAGCCATTGGATGAGGGGGTGGAGCATAGGGCTGCTGCGAAGAGAAGAAAAATACAGGTTTCATTTTACGTAAACTAAGAAAAAGGACGATTGAAAATTAGAAAAAAGAGAAAACAAATCAAAGATGGACAATAGAACAAGCGTACGCGTGTCATGTGTCAAATGCACGTATGAAGCACGTTCTCATCTGGTGGGAGGGGCTTAAGACAGGGAGCCTCCATCCCAAAAACGTTAGTACTGACCGACCTGGGGATGTGACTCAATAATCAACTATCTATTTCACACACCTACTGAAGCTTTAATGAGTAAAATTTTAGGGGAACACGTTTCGAATATGTAACCTCGTAGATGAGTTCATGACGACATTTTATGACTTTTTATTATCAGCCAGAGAAGCAGTAAAAAGCTACTGGTTCATTTTCCGGGTGTTCATTTTGTTACTAACCTTGGAACTGAGGTCAAAAGTGCAGACTTTTTTCCTTTTTTTAAAATCTTAAGTAAACATTTCCACTGCGGGATTATGGGAAATTAGGGTTCATGAGGCACCCAGCAGCTTATAAACAGTTTTAAGTGATGTTAACTTCCTGCTTACTATTCATACCCTCAAAACCAATTTCATCTCACTGTAAAACAATTTACACCTCCATGGGTGTGATATCTTGACACACTAATCCTCTCCAGCCTATTTCATAAACATCTCAATATGTCTTTTTTTTCCCGGTATAATCTCTATCATAAATATAGTCAAAATACATTAGTTATATGATTCTCCCCCACTTTCTTTTTTCTCCCTCTCTTCCCTTCTTTCCCCTCCTCTGCTCTGCTCATGTGCCTGTTGTGCTGTTAGTGTAGATTTATGGTATAGGAGTCAGGGCCCCCTGCTCACAGCCCATTTATATCTCTATTGCAGGGACACTGCACAAAGTGACAGGAAGAGAGAAGCAGGGCCCTGTGGGCATGAACGGAAAGAAAGAGAGAGAGAGATGGAGAAAGGGAGAGAACCACTTGGAGAGAGTGAGCAACGAGGAAGAGAGAGAGAGAGAGAGAGAGAGGGACGATGCACAGTGCAATAAAGTAAGTGAGTGATGGATGAAACAGAGAAAGAATAAATGGTCAGGGTGAGAGGGGGACATGAATAAATACCACCACCAGCTTCAGTTAACCATGTTAACCCTTCACCCTCCCCAGAGAGAACCTGAAGACCTCATACTTGTCTTAAAAACACAGCAGCAGGGTTGCTCACACACACACACACACACACACNACACACACACACACACACACACACACACACACACACACACACACACACACACACACACACACACACACCATTAGCCCCTCAATCCGCCCCACACGTTAGCAGTGGCTGCCGGAGCATGGCTGATTTGATGCGCTATTTTAAGCGTGTGTGCCATGCCAGCGTGTCGCCTTCCACTCCTCAGACAAAGAGCCGGGGTCCCTAGAGCGTGAAGAGGGAGCCACGTCCATCAATGGCCAGCTAATTACCACGCTGAGCTAAGTGGAACTGATGGGCAGCCGCTCGCTGTGCTGGACGCACACACTGTACACATCATCTAAGAGTGCACACACACACACACACGCCACATAACACCTTTTTCACACAGACGCTCATACAGTCAAGTACAGTGAACCATCCCCAGAGCGGCTGTAAGTCCTCTGAGGCAACTCAAGCATCAACTAAATCATGACGAGTCTGTGGAGGACCGGACCACGTCAGGCCAGAGGGCCTCAGTAAATTCAGAGTAGGAATAAAAGTCTCTCAGATCCCTGAAGCTGATCATTACCACAGGTTGACATGTGGACATTCAGCTTTACAGCCTCTCAATCACATGGTTCCTGAAATATTAAAGCTCTTGTAGACCTAATAACTGACATATGGCTAAAGAAGACATGTTGTTGTAGTATATAAAAACTGTGAGTGCAGCTGTGGCTCAGGAGGTGGAGTGGGTCATCTATTAAACAAGTATGTCACCGGTTCAATCCCCAGCTCCTCCAGTCTGTGCACTGAGGTGTTCTTTTGTAAGATGCTTGACCCCAAATCATCTCTAACGTCTGTGTGTGGTGAAAAACCCCCAAAAAAACATCTATAGTATGACTGTACCACTGTGAGGGTTAATTAGACTTGTACTATAGATCACATTGAGTAGAGTCTTTCAAGGTCTCATTTGAACTTTTAAATTCTGTAGATATGACAAATGCTGGGATTTGGTGCAATACGAATAAAACTGTTTTGAATTGAATTCAAATGCTTTTGTCCTCAAATCGAGTCTCAAGTTGTACAAACACACAAACACACCTACACACCCACACATTCCAATTCACCTCCTCCACCAGCAGACGTCTCATGCTGTTTTGGTAGCCTTGGTTTCATTGGCTTCAATGAAAAAAATGGAGGACTAGTCTCCAGTTGTTCATGAGTCCATATTGTGGCAGGAGAATAGAGGAATCTGAATCTCTTGAAAGCTCCATGGGAGTTATTTACTCCCACTCACAGGAACATGCACAGCTGTAGTTCAAGCATCGACTTTGAGGCTTTCACCTTTTCCTCCTCCTCCCCTCACCTTAGCTTTATTCCTCCCTGGTCCACTTTAGCTTAAATTATACACACAGTACTTAACATACTGCATGACACATACAAATCCGCCAGTACAAACAGGAGACACTACACAGACTTACTGCCAGCGCTGAAGGTTAATTGAAAGCCTCTCTCTCATTTCAAAAGCTTTCGTTCTTTTTTTTTTTGTTTTAGCCCTTCAGTAATATTCACACAGCCCTCCTCCTTATCCTCCTCCGCCTCCCTCGGCTCCAGGCTTGGCTTGCATCCTGGGCTTTGGAATTCATGTGTCCCGCCCTATCGATTTGCTTTCATTTTTTAAGGTCAGATGCTCAAATCTTACACAATGAGGCATGGAGGGTCAAAAGCAGCTCATTACTTACAGTGTTAGGGGAGAGGGCAGAGAGCAGGGTTATCCAAGGGGAAAGAAAAACGACGGAAGACCCCCCCCATGGGGTTGAAGGATGGAGTGGGTGCCGAAGGTCTCAGAGCAGCGGAGACTGTCGGAAGGTGGGAAGGGCTGAGTGGGTTTTTTCTCACATTCCCGACGACTTAGGGATTTAATGGTTAATTAGTTTTATTTAAATCTTGAAAAAATACCGGGGCCGCTCCTGAAAATTATACTTATAGGAAAAATGTACAAAATCTGCCATTTTTAATGAGATATGTCCAGTGTAGTGTGTGTATATATATATATGCTTGAACTAGAACATGCATGAGCAGAATTAGCAAAGACACACACACACACACACACACACACACACACACACTGCAACCAAAATGTTTCCCCCTCCTTTAGTTTTAAATCAAGTTTTCTCTCAGCTTCCTCTGGTCGCCCCACTGGAGGTTAACAACTGAGCTTGTTTATCTTTCCGGACGGTTTTCATGACTCTGTTTACCCTCAGCCTGTCGCCCTGTAATATCCGGCTTCTCAAATATATAATAAATACAGGCCTCATGTGTCAGAATGATGAGGATTGAATACAGCACTTGACAAAGAGCATCTCAGCGACAGAGCAGAGGCAGAAGGAGATTGAGGAGAAAGAAAAGAGGAACAAAGAAGAAAAAGATAAAAAAAAAAAAGAGTTAAAGGGAGAAGTAGAGGAGGGTGTGGGAGAGGAGCTGGTTATGACACTTCAAAAATCTCCAGGTGGTAAATGAGAAAAAGCTCCATTTTCCCTCCTCCCTACCCAGCTGTGACACGCTGCTACAGAGGCTTACCGGGGATTTCAATTTGCTGCACTGTATTTTAGACGAGCAGAATGGTTTACACAGGCCCAATTTACCGAGCCAGTCGTGCAGGGGGGTTCACAGCCTCCGTGACATGCCAGGGAATGTTTATGAGTGTATTAAGTGAGGATGATAAATTTGGCGTACGTTGCAACAGCGCTGCGCTGCACATTCTATACAAGGACAACGCACCCTGTCTGTCACTGAGAATAATACTTACAGACCTGAACCAGCTCTGTGTGTATTGTGTTATTGTTGTGTGTTGTTCATGCTCTCTATATACAGCTTCTGCACCTTGTATTAAATTGTTTTGCATTCTGTGAGTGTTGTTGGCAGCTTTGTGAGAATTGAGTTTTCAGATAATCCCGAAGGGATTTTAAACTGTTTATTTAACTTTAGATATAGGACAGTTTTCTTATAATTAATCCTTCAGTGTATCTAAAAGGGTGGAAAAGGTGGTTTTAAGAAATGAGAGCTGAGAAAGAAAGTCTGGAAAAATTCAAATTTAACTTATCAATCACGTGACACATTCAAATTCCAGGCAGGCAGCACCTGCTAAAGTTGGTTTCCCTTTTTTTCCCCAAGTTGATTATATCCCCAGATAAAGTGGTTTCCTGCTTGTATAAAAATTGCGAGACCATTCCATGTGAGTAAACACAGTTTGCCAAACACAGAGGAGCTAAAGCAGTAATTGGAACGAAAGCAGGGTTGTGGCTTCCCTGCCTCTCTCCCTTCCTCCCTGCCCTCTGCAGGGCAGGGCTGCCACTGGAGGAGAGGCGGCTGTGCACCAGCGTGGTAATTGGCCTTGATTTATAGGAGGCCGGAGCAGCCAGCGAGAACTAGCTCAACACTGGCACGAGGCCAGACAAGGCCGCGCTGTCGATACCAGTAAACCAACCCAACCCGACCCAAACCCCCTGCGGCCCGTGCACCACCACTCCACATTAGCTGTCACCATGCAGGAGGGTGCCCGTGTGATTTTCTGTTTGTTTGTCTCACACACACAGTGGAAAAACTGCCACATAAAAAAAATGACAAGCCGTCTTCTTAAATTGAAGAACAAAGCCTCTCAGTTTATCCTCCATTAATTCATGCTGGCAAAGACACTTAAAGACAAGCGCGGTCCCAGAGGCATCGCTTCCAAAGTGCCAGAACTAACAGCTAGCTCGGCGGTCGGCTGCATTCACAGCAGCCTTCAAGCACGAGGGGAACACAAATCCCCCATC